AGGGAGGAGGATCAGCTCTTCCCTGGGATTACAGGCATGGGCCGCCACACCCAACAAGGAAGAAATTTTGAACAGAATGATAGTTGCTGTAATAAATACCAAATAAAGAACTATCTGAGAAATGAAGACAACACCACTTCGTTAATGGAAGGTTTTCAGGGAGAAGAACATGTTTCACGTTTCTCATAGAGAAAAAAGCACTGTAGGCCCCAGGAAGAGGAGCTGAGTCAGGCGTACCTTTCAGAAAAATTCAAGCTGCCTCTGTCTTTATAACCTGAATATTCTAGGGCTGAGGACCAGCTGTTCCCTGAGGTCACACACACAGTCTGAGTGGCCCTCCAACAAAAGCAAGGGGAAGAGAAACACAGTTTCCAGGGTAACCACTAGGCCATCGGGTGCTGTGCTGGCCCAGGCTGGGGGCCCAGCTGGAACGGCAGCTGCCGATGCCAACAGTCCCTGCTCTGTCCCATCCCAGGGCGCACAGAGGTGGCCGCGGTCCTCCCCAGGTGTTGTCCAACAGTTCAGCTATGCGCTTGCATGCTACCTTTCCTGGGACAGCTTGACTCCACACAGAAGGCCAGCCTTCAGGCGCCAGCTGAGACAAATGCTCTGGAGGGGAGTTCAAGCTCCGCCTCTGGCTGAGAGCCAGTTTCTTTCCAAAGATACATTTTTTTTTTTTTTAAAGATCTACTTTGTATGTACAGATCCATATTTGTATATGAAAGTGAAACCTACAGACGCATCTTTTTAAAAGCCACTAATTAATTTTTTTTTCCTCCATCAGGTATGAAGACGATAAAAAAGAATGGGCTGGGATGTTGAAAGAAATTCGCTATGCGTCAGGAGCTAGCTGCCTGGCTACACGTTTAAATCTCTTCAAACTGTCTAAACTATAAACAAGTTTGGTGACAAAACAGAATAAATTGAGATGCGGTTTGTTTGGATAATAGAGCTTTAATTTATTCTGTTTTTTAAAAGCCTGTACAGATTCATGTAGAAACTGTTCAATAAGTTATTGTCTAAGAGGTAAACAGAGTATGAAGACCTCAGTCATTTTATCTTCTGTGTATTAATCAGAGTTTAAAACTTTTCTAATGAGAAATTAAAGATCCAGTTGAACAAATTATCTCTTGTCTCAATCAGTGGATTATACAGTAACAGCACAAATCTGAGTTGTTTAATGTCATTTTTTTTTTTATGTGGTACCAGGGATTGAACTCAGGATGCTACGCTTTCCAGGCAAGCACTTATTCTACTGAGCTATCCCCGAAGCCCCATCCATGTGTTTTAAATTATGACAAAAATATTGTACATTATAAACCACTGCCAGGCATGGTGGCACACACCTGTAATCCTAGTACTTGGGAGGCTGAGGCAGGAGGATTGAGGTCAGCCAAACTTCATATTGAAACCATGCCTCCAAAAAAATAAAGGGCCGGGGAGACAGCTCAGTAGAGTAAGCGCTTGCCTGGCAAGCACAGGGCACTGAGTTCAATCCCTGGTACCGCAAAAATAAATAAATAGATAAAATTTTTTAAAAAGATATTTGGAGGGGCTGGGGAGATGGCTCAGTAGAATAAGCGCTTCCCTGGCAAGCACAAGGACCTGAGTTCTATCCCCGGTTCCGCCAAAAAATAATAAAAAACAAGACAAAAAGATATTTGGAAATGCTATTTAGGTCTGGCGAGATAGCTCAGCAGACAAAGCAACTGCTTAGACAAGTTCAGGAACTGGGGTTCCATCCTTGGTCCCACAAACCCCACTGGCCCCACCCCCAAGCATGCAGAGCCAGCCACTGAGACTGGGCATGGTGGTGCATACCTATAATCCCAGTGCTGGGGAGGCTGAAGACAAGGAGGATCACTACAAGTCTGAGCTGTGTAGTGAGACCCTGTACCAAATATACAAATAAATAAAATAAATAAATAAGAAATGCTATTTAAGCCATGTAATAAATGAGCCTCACTTGAAGGGGCAAAGTCTGTTAGTAAAAGTTGTCATACTCAAATGGCTGTCTTCTTTTCTCCATTCTTTTTGTGATGTGCATATTAGTTGCAATTTTCAAATCAAATTTAAAATTCTTTTAAATTTCAGCAAGAAAGCAGTCAGGAGTGGTGTAATGTGCTTTATAATCCCAGGTACTTGGGAGGCTGAAGCGGAAGAGAGTTCCAGGCCAGCCTGGGCTCCAAGAGACCCAGTCTCCAAACAAAAACGAATCAGTTGGTTATAGTCTCTGTGCCCTGGCTGGCGGGACCTGGGGCTGGATAGTGGGGAAGCACCATCAGAGACAGACTGACTCCTTAAACCTCTGGGGCAGAGGGTGACGTGGAGGAGGACACACAGCTGTTGGCTTACATTCTCGCTGCACTTCCCATAATAGGGCTACCTACTCACTAAGTTTCTGTGGTTCCTGGATGAGGGCCCTCCATTCACTGTCTCTTCTTAGTAGAAAAGAAAACTGACCACTCACATTCTTAATCATCAAATTCAATTCTATGCAAGTCATTTTTATCCTAGCCACACCTACCTACACCTAACTCTCAGAGATACACATTTAATGTCTTTTTTTTTTTTTTGGTCTTTTGAGACAGTTTCGCTACGCAGTTCAGGCTGGCCTTGAACTCACTTTGTAGCCCAGGCTGGTCTTGAACTTGCAGTGATCCTCCTGCCTCAGCCTCCCAAATGTGGGATTACAAGTGTACAGTACCAGCCTGGTTTAATGTCTATTCTTTGTTAAGTTTTCAGGGTTTACTTTTTTATTATTTACAGGGTTCATTCTGGCAGATTTGTACATGCAGATAACATACTTTGACCATTTTCACACACCCACACCAGCCCTGCTGTCTTCTTCTAGTTGCATTTTCTGACTTCTATTCTTACACATTATATTTTAAGAAGTCTACGATTACTTGTTAAGAAACTGCACAAAAATGGATGTAAACCAGGTGTGATGGGGCATACTTATAATCCCAGTACTTTAGGAGGCTGAGGCAGGAGGATTATAAATTTGACCCCAGCCTAGAAAATGCAGTGAAAAATCTGTCTCAAAAATAAAATAAGGGGGCCGGGGAGATAGCTCAGTGGAATAAGCACTTGCCTGGCAAGCTCAAGGACCTGAGTTCAATCCCCGGTTCCGCAAAAAATAAAAAATAAAATAAGGGGGCCGGGGAGATAGCTCAGTGGAATAAGCACTTGCCTGGCAAGCTCAAGGACCTGAGTTCAATCCCCGGTTCCGCAAAAAATAAAAAATAAAATAAGGTTGTGGATGTAGTTCAGTGTGAAGGCCCTGGAATCAACTCCCAATATCAAAACAAAATAAAAACCCAAGTCAATGGGGGCCTGGCCCTAGCTCAGTTCTTTAAGTGGCTGCTTCCACAAAGCTGTCAGCCTCAGGTAGTTCGATCCCCTCAACACTCCAGTCAGCCAAAAGTGCCCTGAAGGCATTCGAGGAACAAAAAAACCCCAAAAAACAAAAAACCCAAGTCAAATAAAACATATATGTTCACACAGCTTTATTTTCTCTATCATAAATATGGAAATATATTAAACAAAAATCAGCCCTATTTTGGATCTTGATTGCTTTTCTATATTGAAAAATACCGATCTGAGCCAGGTGTGGTGATGCGCAACTGTTATCCCTGCACTCTGGAGGCTGAAGCAGGAGGATCACCACAGGTTTGAGGCCAGCCTGGGCTATATAGTGAGTTTAAGGGCAGCCTAAACTTTATAGTGAGACCCTGTCTCAAAAAAAAAAAAAAAAAATCCATGATCTATATGACTGATCCATGATTTCAACCATGAGCACACAGTCAATAAATCCCAAAGGTTAGAAGCCCAAAAATTCCTTCAGCAGATTTTTTTTTTTTTTTTTTGGTGAAACTGGGGATTGAACTCAGGCCCTTATGCTTGCCAGGGAAGCACTTATTCTACTGAGCCATCTCCCCAGGCCCAACCTTCAGCAGATTAAACTGCTAGGAGGAGAAAATAGTAGAGAAGGCTGCTTAGCAGACAAGGTTAAAGGCAAGGGATGGGGGAAATGAGGGCCAAAGATTCACTCCTGGGAGAGAAAATTCTAAGTGCTTACCATTAAACAGAATAGAGTTCTGGGGAGATGGTGAGGGGGTGAACACCACAGAGGCTTTCCAAGATTTGGTGTCCAGACACAGGAATACAGACACGTGAAGAAGAGAGGGAGGGAAGTGGGTCCCTGACAGGGAACTGAAGCAAGAATTGAAGCCCAGCAGGGGAGATAGCGGCATAAGCACCTGCTTGGCAAGTGCAAGGGCCTGAATTCAATCACTGGTACAGGGAAAAAGAAAAAGAAAGAATTGAAGCCCGAGGGGAGAGTAAGAGACTTCAACAAAAAAAAAGTGATCAACAGCGCTCCTCCTGAGCCCTGACGGTGTGCTCCAACCTGCAGAGGCACAGTGTCTACTGGTGACTGCAGAGGTCTCAGTGGAAAAACTCACAGCAGAAGGGAGCACTACACGCAGCGGATTCAGTTCTGCCCGCCCCCAGGAGAGGGCGATCTGCTGGAGCCACCCTGAAAGGGCCGGACTGAGCTCAGATCTCAGCAGCTTTGCGCTGCAGCTGTCTAGCCACGCCCCATGTCGAGGCCAGGTGCAACCGAGTTCAGTCTGGCCAGTGGTCTAGAAGCAGAGCTCAAGCCAACAGGAGGCGCGCAGAGTGCTGCAGGCTGAGCAAACTGGGGTCCAGCCTCACACCCAGAAACCAGCCTGCAGGTTAGTGGAACTAAGGGTGCAGGCTCGCTGGGGGGATCAACATGATGGTGCCCGTGGTGGCTTCCAGTGACAGCAGAGATATGCCGTTAAGTGGACTCATTTTTAGTCCTCTTTTCTCATTTTTGTTTTTTTTCTGATCTTGTTTTTATATGAATATGAACACTGTTTCTAGTTTTTTGTTGTTGTCCTGTTCTTGTTTTTAATTTCTTCCTTCTGTTGTTCCCTCCTGTCTTTATCAGTTTCCCTAAATTTCTGTAATCTTCCTTTGTCCTCCAGCGCGGCTTCTAATTTCTCTTCCTCCTCTTTCTCTATTTCCCCCCCCTTTAACTTTCCCCCCAAAGAGTAAAAGCCCCATGCTGAGGGCATGTTTGTTGTATACAATTTTTGCGTTTGTTTTAGATTTTGTTATATAACCACAAATGTCGCTCATATGGTTAAAGGTGGCAAATTAATAGTTACCACAGTTTGGAATTTTCTAGCCTGAGTTTGATGCTGCTGTTATTGTTAATTGTACTACCTCAGCCAAGGTGATACAACTGTTCCAAGCAGTTGGTCCTCTGGTATGCCAAGGCTGAGACTGCCTGAGGGTCATTCACGATATTACAGGCCAGTAGAAAAGAACCAGGGGCTGGGCCAACCAGGCAGCAACTTGTCATTCACAATAAATTAAAGGAATGTTTTTTGTTTTTTTGAGACAGGGTCTCATTGTAGTACAGGCTGACCTTGAAGCCCATTATGTAGTCCACAGCAATCCTCCTGCCTCGGTCTCCCCAGTGCTAGCTAGGATTATAGGCATGAGCCTGCACAATCGACAACCTGCTTGCTCTGCCTGACCCAAAATGGGTCTTTTGTTATTCTCAAACATATCAGGCAGCTTTCCACCTCAGGATATTTGTGCTTATCCAGTCAGGGCCACTTAAGTATAACACACACAAACATGACGCACCATGAGAACTCCTTTTAAATGAAACTCATGATTTCCCATCCCCAAATATGCGCTGTCGCAGATAGTCCACGTGAGCATCCTGGATGGACAGGGCCATGGAGTTCCACTCGAAGTGCGGAATCTGGAAGGTAAGCAAGGGGGCCGGGGTGAAAGTCTCCACAGTGACCAAGAGCATCGGGGTGACAGCAACAGCCCTGAGGGCAGCTGTGGGAAACCCGTGAATCGTGGTCACACACGGAAGACGGCTACGCACAGAACTAGCCCTTCCTCCCAAGACTGGCCCTCTCCGCCTTGACTCCCCCGGGGGTTGTGCGCATGTGCAGCATCAGCTCCACTGAAGACATTTTCATCTCTTTTTTGTATTTTAGGGAAGGGTCTACAGGGTGTTCAGGGTCTCACTACTAGATCGGACTCTTGGTGATCCGCCTGTTTACAGCCTCCCAAGTGCTGGGATTACAGGTGTGCACCACCATGCCCAGTCTCAATCCCAGTCTCAGCGCATCCTGGGGGCGGGGCCAGCTCGGCAGGCCCCAGGATTGAACCACCAGCCCCTGCACCTCCTTGCAGGTGCTTTAATCCGCTGAGCTATTTGGCTGGCTCATAACTGTTCATTTCTTATGCTACTAAAAACATGTTGTAGGCTGGGGATATAGCTCAGTGGCTTAAACACCTGCTTTGTTAAGCGCAAGGTCCTGGGTTCAATCCCCAGAACCGCAAAAAAAAAAAAAAAAAAAGATAAAAACATGTTCTATATCACAGACATCCTAATATGCCATTTTGAATATGAAAAATTCTGGAATTTTCAGAATTAAAGGATAAAGTTTAAAAGGAAATACCTCTATAACCAGTGTCACTGTGCTTTTTATTTTATTATTTTTTTTAAATATAGTTAAGGCTGGCCTTAAAAATTACTATTCATCTCAGTTGGCCTTGGATTTACAGTGATCCTCCAGAATTCTGGGCTTAGAGGAGTCTGCCACCCAGACTCTGTGGTATTCAGAGGATGAATTACATGAGTGTGTCATACCTGGATTACACGATAGCCCAAAATCTCTAAATGTCGTTTTTTCATAGCAGATTTTCCTTTTAAGTGAGGAATATTTTTACAAAAAGCTCTTGAGTCCAAAAATTCGAATGCAATCCTAGACAAGAAAAAAAAAATAAATACTGTATTTTCAAAATTAAAATGAGCAAATTGAATAACTACAAACCTTTCAGGAACTAGAATATATAAGATAATAAAAGCCAGATGAGTATAAATGTTATTTTTCTATTTAAGAAATTAGTAACTAGGGCTAGGGATGAGGCTAAGTGGTAGAGTGCCTGCCTCCATGCACAAAGCCCTGAGTTCAAGCCCCAGCCCCACCACCACCACCACCAAAAACAAAAGAGAAATTAGGAATTGATAACAAACTTATTTGCTTAGGGCTGGCCTGATAGCTCAGAAGACTAAAGTGCCTGTTTAGGCACAGCGCAGCAGCCTGGGTTCATCCCCATTGTGCTGTGCCGCCCCCCTCCCGGGGTGTGCTGAGACTTGTGGTTGTGGTGCCTGTAATCCCAGCGCTTGGGAGGCTGAAAACGGAGAATCACTGAGTCCGATCTACATAGTAAGACCCTGTAGACCCTGTACTAAATACTTTAAAAAATTATAAAATAAAATAAAACCCCTATTTGTTTAAACTAGATGATAGTAAAATGGCTTCCGGCTTTTGTCTGTTTGTTTCTTTGTCCAATATATACTTACTTTTTTTTCTTCAGTAAATACATATTACACACCTACCATCCATAAGGAGTTCACAGGTAGATCAAGCAACATGGCTTAGCACACAGGACAACGTGACAGAGCACACAGTAGGAATTGCAGGAGAGGAAGTGGTGGGTGCTCTGTGGACAGCACACAGTGGGTGGTGGACAGCACACAGTGGGTGGTGGACTCCCAGCCTACGTGACCTGCTCAGCACCTTGCTTAGAGACCTCCTCTTTGACCCAGTGAAGTAAGGCAGTGAGGCACAGGCACAGGAGGGTCACGGTGCGTGGGAAAACTGCACAAATTATAAGAGGAGCAGATGCTACCTCACTTGCTCCTTGAAAGCTGATGTCATAAAATAATGCCAAAGTTTCCATTTCGATAAAATCTGAAATTAAGAAATACATTACCTTTCAGCTCCAGGTGGAAGACTTGATCCAACTATTTTGATGTTTGATTCCCAGTACATTCTTCCTGGTTTTCCCAAAGTTGTATTATGGTTTCCATAAGAAAGTGGTTTTTTTCTTTTATCCAAGATACATTCAAAATCTTAAAGAAGTATAGGAATTAATGGTATAGTTAGGTAACTTCTTATAGGCAAACACTGAAGATGTACTTTTAAATTCATAAACATATGGATGTATACATACACATACATGCCTGAAAGAACAATAAACCTCCCTAATCATCCAATTTGTTTTTTAAGATTTGATCCATGGGCACCTCTCTTTGAAAACAATCAAAATCAATCTGCAATTCTTAACAAACTACAGCACAGACTGCCTTAGCACAAGGCCAGGCCAAATTGTATTAAGAAGTTTTAGCTCTTTCAGTCTCTTGGTCACCTTTGGAGGGAGCCAGAACAACTCATCTAAAAAGAAATAAGCTGCCATGCCAGCCCTGCACTCTGCACCTACGGGAGGACATAAAGGTATAATTTAAGAATCTCCTATTTGCAGATTTTTGCTATTCACAGCTGAACCCAATCTTGAGTAATGTAAAAGTGAAAAGAAGAGGCTGTGTCTTTTTTTAAAAATATGGACTGCGTCACGGATTTGCCTGTCATCCATGCGCAGGGGCCATGCTAATCTCTGCATCGATCCAGTTTTAGTATGTGTGCTGCCAAAGCGAGCATGAGAGGATGTGTCTATGCAAAATGAAAACACTCATGATGACCTGGTTCACTTCTTGCCCCGTGCAGAGCACACGTGTGCATGCGCACACATGCACACACTCGTGCACGCACACCCCAGCATTGTCATTCGATCATCCAGCCTCTGCCCCATTGTTACTTTTTCACAAAACGGCCCATAATCCTCTTCATAATGCCTTAAAATCTGCTTCCATTACGTTTCGAAACAGGGTCACACCATGTGGTTGAGACTGCCTTTAAAATTACTGTATGGGAGGCTGGGGGGATAGCTCAGGAGAATAAGCACTTGCCTGGCAAGTGCAGGGTCCTGAGTTCAATCCCCAGCACCACAAAAATATATAAATGAATAAATAAATAAATGAAGTAATCAATGATAAAAATCCACGCCATCCTGGTCTTCTCTAGTTCTTGGTCCTGATTTCTCAGTTCTTCCTCATCTGTCCTTTGTTTCTTGACCCTGTTTGTCACTGTTTCTCAAAAAGGACGTTATGCCAAAAGGAAAAAAAATGTGAACACAGTGAGGTTACCAACTTTATCATTGTTAGTATAGTAAAAATTGTATTTGATTCTGGCAAACACTACATTAATCAGATATTTTCTAAAAATATTATGCAATCTTCTTAAACTTTTATCTTTTTCATTTAAGGTATCAGGTTAGAGTCACATGCATAGTATCTTTGGAAATCTTAGTCCAGGTTGATAATTCAAGTTAGTTTTTGAGATTGTAATGGGTTAACTCACATTTTAGGCTATAAATGTAAATCTTGTGTTTCCTGTTGTGTGAAAATGTATACTTACCACTGTTCTAAGCTGTTTAGTAACTAGTGGCTGTTTCTTGCTTTTTGCTAGATAAAATTCCTATCTCACCAATTCCTGCAACCCTCACCAATTCCTGTAAGCAAAGTTAGATTACAGAGATGACTTCAAAAGGAAACTGAATGAGCTTTGACTTCTTGTAACCTCGGGCTATGCAAGGTTGCTGGCAGATACTCTCGTGCAAGATAACAAGAAACTAAAACAAAGCCCCAGGAAATTTAGTTTGAGCAGTGGTCACAGTGATCCTGCAAGCATTGTTTCGTGTCAGACAATGAATTTGTTTTACCAAACTGAATGTGGTTCTAGGTTTTAAAACCCCCTAGCTTCCTGTGCTAGCTACCTTTCGGTCTTCTGCATAGAGAGCTGATCAGGGGCCCTGAGCTCAGTAATAAACAGCTTTCCAAATTCCAATCTGGTTGATCTGGGTCCTATTCTGAGTGACCCATAACATAGATAAACTTAAAACAATGAATCATCAACACAATAGTTCATTTTCCCGACTTTAGGACACTGGATAGAGGAGAGAATCTTTGAAGAACCAGTGAGTCTTTTTTTGTTTGTTTTTTTGACACAGGTCTTGCTAGCCCAGACCTCCTGAGTGCTGAGATTACAAGTACGAGCCACCACTCCATGGATCCATGGAATCTCAACCAGATCTATACAATTGACCTTAAATTGTTTTTTTAAAAAACATCAAAATCCTGATGATTATCCAAAGTGGGCCATGAGAATTTGAGGATTAATGATATTCTACTTGTGTCTGTTTGTAAATTTTCATAACAACTAAGAATTTTTTTAGAATTATCTTTTTTTAAATCCCCAGTTCCGTCAAAAAAAAAAATCTTTTTTAAAATTCCAACTAATGAGATTGTTGCAGGCAGCCAAATTAGATAGAAATACTACAGGCAGTTAGACAGGGTCAGGCCCTCAAGGAGACAAGATGGAAGACAAGCTAACTTTGCAACTTTGAAGAGACAGACACTCCCATTGGGGCACATCTCAAGATGAAGACAAAAAGAGGAAACACAGCTACATACTTCCCTAGGGATGGGCATCAGGGATTGATATCCTAAATAGGTATCAATGACTTTGAAAGAGCCCAAATGAGTCACCAGCCCAACCCCCAACAGGAAGAGACCCTGTCCCACATTAATGCCCCCTTGCTATGACTTTCCTCATTTGGTACTGGATTTAATCAATTTTACCTGAGCAATGGTGCTTGTAATCTCATTGGTTGACCATAGTTTTGTCCCACCTCATGCCCACCTAAGTGAGTTCTCATGCCTTTTCCCCACCTTAGATCCGCCTCACCACATGGTTTTCCTCTATAAAAGTCCCTAGAAGAGACAACTTCTGAGGGGAACAACCCACTCGGGTCCCACTCCTGTCCCTCTCTCGGACAGGAGCTTTCTTTCCCTCAATAAATATATTCTGCTCATAACCTCCATTTGTTCTTAAAATTTATTCTTTGGTTTTAGAGAACATGAACTCATCCAGGTCAGGTCAGGAGATCATTTTTCCCTATGTCCTTTGGAGGTTCCCTATATCATTTGGAGGTCACCCACCTGAGATCAGATTTTCTCCCTGTATCAAGATGATTCTATTAAAATTAGTTTGGTTCTCAGTAGGTGGTTCTCAATTAGCAACTTACCTACTCTGTGGTAATATGGCGAAAAAACAGAGGCTTTGACAAAATTGGGTCCTCCTAGTACCTCTGCCAGAATTTTATACAGCTGCTGTTGTGCTCCATTCATGATGCCAGTATCTTTACAAAAATAAAAATAGAAAGTTCACTTCAGTTAATCAGATTTTGAATGACTGTCCAAAGTCTACAAACTGAATAGGACTATTTCCAATACTCCAAATAAGAACTCTGATGTAATACCACCAAATTAAATATAAGATCTTGCTCTTAAAAGATTTAGTTTCCTAATTCGGAAATTCCTTTTTTTTTTTTTTTTTTTTTTTTGGCTTTTTGAGACTGGGTTTCACTATATAGTTCAGGCTGGCCTTGAACTCTTAATCCTCCTGCCCCAACAGCCTAAGTGCTGAGATCATGGCATGCGCCACCGCACCCAGCAAGAAATTCTTATAACAAAGCTTACCTACAATGTGAACAGGGGATGGCCTTCTTGGAAAGTCTACTGCCACGTTTAGATTTAACAATAATAATGTCCTACCCACAAACTTACTTCATAATTATTATTTTTTTTAATGTATTTTAGGGGCCAGGGAGATAGCTCAATAGACTAAGTACTTGCTTGGCAAGCACAAGGCCCTGAGTTCCATCCCTGTTACCACCCCCCAAAAAAAAATGTATTTTAGTACAGGGACTACAGGGTTTCACTACACCGATTGGACTCGTAGTGATCCTCCTGTTTTCAGCCTCCCAAGTGCTGGGATTACAGGTGAGCACCACCACACCCAGTCTCATTTGCTTCTCGGAGTGCCCAGGGGCAGGGATCAAACCTGTCTCTGTGGCTAAGTGTTGGGCGCCGGCGCCCTACATGCTTGCCCTCCCCCACGGGGGATTTCCAGAGCTACGCTTAACCTCTGCTGGCGCATTCTATTTGGCTAAGAGCTGTTACAACCAGGCACTTGCCCATTGGCCGGTTTAAGACACGCAGCCTTATTTGATTGGTCCTGGGGAGTATAAAAGAGGATGTTACGGAAGGTCCGGGTTAGTTTGGCGGAGGAGTTAGGGAATTAGTTCCGGAGAGAAGTTCGGGGGAGAGAAGAATAAAGAGAAGCTTAAGCACCATCTGACTCGCGTGTGATTTCAACGAGCGCCCGACAGCTAAGCAGGCACTTTAGTCCACTGAGCTATTTGGCCAGCCCCCATAATTAAATTTCATATCTCACAAGAAGGAAATTCAAACCTTTATTATGCTGTTGTTGACAGAAGCGGTCATGAAACCACGGAATCTGAAATTCAGGGCATTCCAAGCAGACAGCTCTATTCAACTCCATCAGACGAAACTGGACCTTGCTATTCAGAAGTGAACCTAAAACTGAAATGAAAAATAAAACACTCATGGGTTTTGGTAGTTTGGACCTAGCAGAAAACAACTCATTTCTTCATATTTTTTTCTTTTTCCTCCAGGTACTAAGGATTGAACTCCAAACTTTGCGATTTCTAGGCAGGCGCTTATGCTGCTAAGCTATCTCTCTGGCCCTTTTCTCACTACACTTATCCCTACTATTAGGTATACTTGTATTCTCCTATTATATAAAATCATTTCACTTGTATACAAATGCTTTATATTTTAAAATTACTACATTCAGTAGCATGATCAGAATCAACTTCTACACTGCTATTAATTGTACATTTAAAAATTACTTTTTTCTTTTTCTTTTTTTTTTATAGTCAGCTTAGTCCACCCTGGGGGCAGGGCTGGCATGGCATGTGGTGCTGGGGATCAAACCAAGGTCCCTGCATGCTTGCCTAAGCAGGCGCTTTAGACTACTGAGCTATCTTGCCAGGCCTAACAGTTCTTTTTTTTTTTTTGGAAGCAGGGTCTTGCTATGTAGTTTAGGCTGGCCTGGACTCACTATATAGCCCAAGCTGGCTTCAAACTTCAGGCGATCCTCTTGTAAGCACCTTCATACCTCTGGTAATACATTTTATGTAGCCCAGGTGTTATGGCACATGACTGTAATCATACTACATAGGAGGCTGAGGCAGGAGGATCACTGTGAGTTCAAGGCCAGCCTGGGCTACATAGGGAGATCCTGTCTCACAACACACATACAAACATACACATACACATGGGGGTGGGGGGGAAGGAAAAGAAAGAAAAGGAAGGGAGAAAGGAATGAAGAAAAAAAGAACTACTCTGAAACATTAAAAGTAGGGGACAGTTATTAAGGATTTAACTCAGTGGAACAGCGCCGCCCAGCAAGTATGAGATCCTGAGCATTAATTCCCCCCAAAAATTAAAAAATTAAAGCAAATAAAATATCAAAAGTAGTTTTAGGCAGAGAATGTAGCTCAATGGTTGAGCACTTACCTAGCATGTGTGAAGCCCTCGGTTCAATCCCCAGTACCAATCAATCAATGAAGCAGTTTTACTTGGTGGTAAAATTATGGATCTATCTATCTTTCTTTCCTTCTCTTTTTTTTTGAGACAGGGTCTCACCATGTAGGCCACGCTGGCCTCTGCCTTGGTGTATCGTTAGGATATGTACTTCCCTGAGCTTGTAATTCTCCTGCCTGAGTCTCCTAAATGCTGGGATTATAAGTAATGGCCACAACACCTGGCTTTTACTTTTCATTTCATATTTTTATGTGTTTTCCAATCTTTTTACAATAGTCATGACAAGAAAAATTTTAGTGGTGCTAGAGATCAAACTCAAGGCCTCACGAACCTTAGGGAAGTACTCTACTCTGAGCGCTGGCCCCAGCCACCATGAAATACTTTTATCAACAGAAATGTTACTAATATTCAAACACGTCAGCAGGCGCTGGGCGTGGTGGCACACAGATGTCATCCCAGTGCTCTGAGAGGCTGAGACAGGGGATGGTGAGTTTGGGGCATAGTCTGAGCAATTTAGGACCTTGGGGAGACCCTGTCTCAAGCTGGAGGAAAACTAAAAAAAGGGTTGGCAACAGCTAGTGTGAAAGCCTTGGGTTTATTCCCCAGGACAAGGAGAAAGAAAAGCTTCTAAAGGGGAAGAGCTGAAATCTGGAATATAAAATACAGGAGATAATTTAATTTATACATACTTTCAAGCTGAGAATCTAATCTGGCTAAGAACTGGATGTTAAAAATTGCCTTCAGCAGATCTTCTGGAAAATATTCAAGGGTGGCGAAAGACAAACCAAGAAACACTAACATGAGAGGATCCAATGTACCTGAAAGAAAATTAAAATTAAAATTAAATTAGGATGTACAGCTGCTCCACGTACACATGTGTTTATCCAGATCAAGTTAAGTTTTTAAAAAGTGAGAAACACAGACAAAACTAATCCACTCTGCTTGCAAATCAGGAAGGGTGGCCAGCTCTCGGTGTGGCAGAGTAAGAACCGGCGAGGGAAGGGTTCTGGGGGGACACTGTCCAGGTACCGAGTCCCCAGGTGATTCCATTTGTGAAAATTCAAACTATTACACTAAGGTAAATGAATGTTACTGCTGTTATTACACTTAAGCCGCTGCCTGGAAAAGAGAAAAAAATCAAAACCAAAGGACAGTGGTGCACAGAGAAGCTGTGTCTGGGGACCCCCAGCGCTTCAGGTAGTGCTCTAAGCCCCGGGGCATCCCGAATGGCTCTGGTGGCAGCAGCAGCGGGTATTTCCTCTGCTCCACGAGTCCCCGTACAGTGCAGTAGCGAGCTGGCGGGCTGCTCAGGAACAGCTGCTCTCTGGGGACTTAGATTCCAGGCTGAGCACAGGCTGAGGTTCCGGTGTTGCCTTCACGTTGCCCACCACCCATCACCCACAGCGAGGCAGACATTTTGAGGTGGGGCCAACTAAAATGCCCCACTGGCGTTATTTTATAAAGGACAGAAAAGCCTTTCCCTCTGGATTTTTTGCTGAATTTATTTGGTATTTTGAGGCAGAGTTTCACTAGCTCAGACTGGCCTTGAACTCACAGTGTAGACCCCACCCCCGGCCTTCAACTACCACACTCTCTTACCTCAGCTTCCCAAGTGCTAGGATTTCAGGTGTGTGCCACCACATCTGGCATACATTTATTTAATAAAGTAAGGCCAAGTCACAAATGAGATTAACAGTAATGATCTCCACCAGCAAAACTTTTCTATCAAAACTAATCTATATTCAGGGGCCAGGGAGATGGCTCAGTGGAATAAGTGCTTCCCTGGCAAGCACAAGGGTCTGAGTTCAATCCCCGGTTCTGGGAAAAAAGTCAAAGAAATGAAAAAAAAAAAAAAAAAAAAGAAAAAGAAAAAGAAAGAACTAATCTATATTCAAAATGAAGGAGGTTGGGTGAGGTGAAGCAAGGCCAGATGGGGTGGTGCACACCTGTACTCCCAGCACTAGGGAGGCTGAGGCAGGAGGATGACTGCAAGCTTAAGACCAGTCTGGGCTAGAAAGTGAGCTCAAGGCCAGCCTGAACTGCATAGTGAGACTCTGTTCAAAATAATGATGATGAAGGAAATTATTGCTCCAGTTAACTAATTTTATTATAAATGTCTCTGAGGCTTTTTCAAACATTAAGTGGGCTGGATGCGATAGTGCACAACTCTAATCCTAGCCCTTGGAGGGGGAAGCAGCAGGATCACAGCTATGAGTCTAGCCTGGGTAATTCAGCAAGACTCTATCTCAAAATATAACATAAAGTGCGGAGACTATAGCTCAATCCTCTTCGGGTTCAATTCTCAGTACATGTGTGGGGCACATTAACTATTATAAGTCCAGGGATATAGCTCAGTGGCACAGTGCCTGCCTGGCAAGCACAAGGTCCTGAGTTCCATTCCTAGTACTAAATTAATTAATTAATTAACTTCTATCAAAAAGAAACAATTAGATATTACATACTTTCACATATGATATAAAGTTACATAGCACCAAAAAACAGGTATTTTTCCTCTGAACTTAATCGAGTTTTTTAACTTCTAGTTCACTAAAATAGATGAGATGGGGGCCGGGGAGATGGCTCAGTAGGATAAGCGCTTGACTGGCAAATGCAAGGATCTGAGTTCAATCCCCGGTTCCGCCAAAAATTAAATAAATAAATAAATAAAATAGATGAGATGGAAGAACAAGTTAAAACAAATCAGTCAGATAAATCCATAATGTAATACAATCTATAATAAAGGATACCTGTCACACAGGAGCTATCACAAAGAATCCACAACTGTGATCTCATCTTATTAAATAGCTTTTGCACAGCAAGAAAAGCCATCAACAGAGTGGAGAGACAACCCACAATGTGGGAAAAAATTGTTTGTTAGCTGTTCCTCACACAAAGGATTACTATCCTGAACATAAAACATAAAATAACTATTTTTTTCATATAAAAAGAACATATAAATAAATGAAATAAAATAAATCAGACCTCCCAAATTTAAAGATTAGTCCAAAAATGGGTATCTGAGATGAATATACATTTCTCAGATAAAAAAATACAAACAGCAAATATACAAAATGTTCAACATCACTGTTTATTTGAGAGATGCAAGTTAAAACAACACTGAGGCTGGTGAGATGGCTCAGTGGTCTAAAGCACCTACTTAGAACAAGCTAAGCTAAGCAAAGCACAGGGACCGCGGTTCAATCCCCCAGCACCACATGCCAGCCAGCCCTGCCCCCTGGTGGGCTGAGCTGGCCACACACAGACACAAAATAAATGAATAAATATTAAAAAAAAAACAACAAACCACACTGAGATTCCATCTCACTCCAGATCTCACCCCAGAAAGAATGGCTATTATGAAGAAATGAACCAATAATGAATGCTAGAGGGGCTGTGGGGAAAACTATTGGTGGGAATGTAGACTGGGTACAACCACTGTGAAAATCAGTGTGGAGATTCCTAAAAAAACTAGGATTAGAGGTTGGTCCTACTCAACCCAGCTACTCCCCTTCTGGGTATCTTCCCAAAATTAAAAACATCATACCATAGCAAGATACTTGCACTCATGTTTATAGCATGACAATTCATAATAGCTATATCTTGGATGCAACCTAAATGTCCATGAACCGAGAAATAGGTAAAAAGATGCTAGGCATTTTTATATAAGGGAGTATTCCTCAGCTATAAAGAAATGTAAACTTGAGGCTTTTCTAGGTAAATGGAGGCCTACATTTATGGTCTCCGGACCGTACTCATAAATGAAATAAATCAAACCCACATGTATAAACATCACATTATCTCCCTAGTATGAGAAGCTAAAAGAGTAAATAGGACTTAAGATGTACAACAAATAATGTGAAGTGGGAAGAAATTGTTCAAAAGGAAAGAGAAACTAGGATGGGTGAAAAGAGAAAAGAAGGGAAAAAAAAAAAAGTATATATGCACACAAGATAGTTAAGATAGTTATACTGGTAATTTCTCTTTGTTCACTGAAAAGAAAGGTTTACACTAATATTTGGACAGTTAAATGCCTATATCTTACACTATTAATAACTAATTCGAAGATAACAGTATGGGGAGCTGGGGAGATGGCTCAGTGGAAAAAGCGCTTCCCTGGCAAGCACAAGGGCCTGAGTTCAATCCCTGGTTCTCCCCCCGCAAAAAAAAAAAAAGAAAGAAAGAAAAGATAACAGTATGTAGTTTATTAACCATTGTTACTCTTCTATAATCTTATTTTAAAATTTTGTTTCATTCTTTTCTCTTTAAATAAAATTAAAGGGTTTGGAGATTTAGCTCAGTGATAAAACACTTATCTAGCAAGCCAGAAGCCCTGGGTATTGTCCTCAGCACCAATAAATAAATAAATAAAATTAAAATTAAAAATACTCCAAGAAATAAAATTTTAAAAAGATCAATCAGACAAATCCATATTGTGATACAACCTATAATGAATGGTTAATCTCTATTATAAGATAAATACTGGGAAAAAATAACATGAAAGAGAAAAAAATATAGACTAGGGGAGACAAACGAGTAACAACCAAAATGTGAATTTTGACTGGAACTATTCTAAAAAGTATTTTGGGAACAACTAGGCAAATTTATACATAAGCTGTCTGTCTATTAGATGTTTGGGGTTTGTGTGTGTGTGGCATCAGGGAATTGAACTCAGGACCTTGCATTTGCCAGGCAGGTGCTTATGCCACTGGGCTACCTCCCTGGCCCACTTGGGGACTATTAAATTTCTTTGGTGTGCTAGCAACATGTGGTGCTACAGGAGACTGTCATTATTCTTAGTAGCTGTATGCTACAGGAATTGAGGGCTCAAGGGCCAGGGAGATAGCTCAGTAGAATAAGCGCAAGGGCCTGAGTTCAATACCCAGTTCCGCTAAAAAAAAAGGAATTGAGGGCTCACGATTCCTATCAGGCACTGAAATGGCACAGAAAGAGTGTGCGAGAGATGAGGCACATATGAGAAAGTGGTAACAGTACTCGCCGCCAGCCTGAGCACACAGGCGTTCCCTGATCAATTCTTTCAATTTTTCACACAAGTTTGATGCTTCCCATAAAAAGCTCCCCCACGATACAAAATATGTATGTTTTGTCTTATACTTTAAGGTTCAGAATCCATGGTCATCTTAATGTCATTGCTGAGACACAAGATCCAACACTCAGTCAAGAGGAGGAGAGGCTTATTTTGGCTCCTGCTTCACTCCATAGTCAGCTGACCTCACGGCAGAACAGCCTGGCAAGGAATGGCTGGAACCACCTGCCAAGCCAGGTAGTCACAGAGTGATGGGAGGAGACAGGAGGGAGA